TAGCTATGCAGCTTGGGCGGTGTGTGGGCAGAACTTGGTGAATCACACTATCCACTATTATCTATACTTGACACCTTGTATATCCTTTTTAGATCCTTCGGTCCTCGTTTTCGGTCGCAATCATTTCTGACCTGTTGGTCTTGTGAGCAAAATGTTTGGGGGGAAGCTCATTGGCGTGCGCTATGCTCCACGCATGCTTTGAGTATAGCCTGTATTCACTTATCCTAAGACTCTATCCCGGGAGGTCCTAAGCCTATACTGTATCCAACCCCTCAGATTAGCTCAGGCTCTTGCAGGCCCCAAGCTACCAGGAGCAAGAAGCTACTACAGTAGTATATAACAAAGCGCATCGCTACTAGTATCCAAGCTTTGGAAACAAAACATGGAGCTTCATAGACATGATAAAAGCGCACCAAAACGAACTACCATAGCCGAAGTATCAGCGACATTTCTGTATGCATTAAACGTATTCCTGTGGTTTGGGTGCCCTGCTTGATGGCAGCGAGGTAAATAGATAGACAAGCTTCTTGGGAAGTTCAGCAATTCTCCACGGGTACTTATTACTCTCCACTGGACTCACTTGTGCAATCAAAAGTGCATCTCAGAAATTCTTGGATTCTGGTGAAGGCACAAATCCTGCCCTTGTATTTCCTTGGGTGTGTGAATTCCATTTGCAATCTCACAAAATCCACCAAGTAGCATCATGATGTCTTACTAGGTGTATTTGGATCTTCCTTGGTGGCACGCACTCAAGAGAAACTGTGCTCCAAAACATGATGGAGCCTTTGGCTGGAGCAACTGTCTCTATGGCTCAGCCAAGTCTCAAGCAGTGTCGTGGAACGCCCGGTGGCAAATTGGCTGGAAACAGCTACAACCATGTCAATCTTTGCTCCTTTTAGCACGAGAAGCAAGGAGCTGTTAGATAGCACAAAATTCTGTAAAACATTTTGAGACACTCTTCGCGCATTGCGAGAAGAAGTGGAATAACTTTGCAGAAATAGGACTTGCTTCAAGACGCCTAGTTGGCCTAGTTTCACGGTTTCACACTTTAATTGTCCGTTATATAATCTGAGTCGCTCTTCTTCCTTCCTTAACTTTCTTTGAGAGATCTACGAAACCACTGAGTGACTTTGCTCCACAGCGTGGTGTCTCTGTCCACCGTGACAGGTGACCAAACAGTGAATTGATGGGGAAGATTAGGAGATTTTGAGTGCCGCAGAACTGAACCACACTCCCGATGTTCAGACTTTCAGCGCCGTTGACAACTCTAAACCCTTTCTTCTTGCCATGAATGCGTTGCGTATCATTCCCCCACCCATTCAGAACTTGACGTGCTGTGTGGTCGCGCCATGTGCTGCCTCACGCCTTTTTCATCCCCAAGAGGATCTATCTGTCAAAGTCCCACCTCTTTCGCGTCCGCCGCCTCATCATGTGCCATCGGGAAGGTGGTTGGCCTTGGTGCGCACAGGAGTCCGAAATGCCAATCACTTGTGATGAGCTTGAGTAAGCTTTCGACATATCATTCGCACTCGACCCGACATCCCGACCTCAGTCACTTCTCGACTGGACGTCCGGAACTGGAACCTTTCGAATCCTCAGTTAGATCACCTCAGCCGCCAAATCTTCCACCATCTGATTCATCTCCTTGACAACGATCTTTCATCAGAATCAAGGAGTTGTCACTCATCGCACATTGTCACACCAAGATGGTCCTTGTGCGTTTTGCCCTCAAACTTTGGAGAGCACATTATGCCGATGAAAAATTCATCCCAAATCTCAGTGTTGGTCACTGTGCCAAAGATATGCACAGCAAACAAACAAACAAACAAACAAATAGAGCTAAAGTCCACTTTGAACATGTTGAACCAATGCAGAAATGATCAGAGACTCAAATTGAATAGGAAAACTGAGATTCCGGCATAGCCACTGCCCACGTGGAGGTTATTCCTGTTGAAACGATACGGCGCATGGTCCGATTTGTCTTTGCTTGAATGAATATGCTCCGGTCCTCAAATAGAAGTGTAAGGGCACTAACTTCACAGTGTAAATCTGTCGCCTCAGGAAACACAAGCACCGAGGTTTAGCATGAACAAACTCTCTACTGTTCCTTTGCACAGATGCTGGCAAATGGGTTCCAGGCAACTTCTCCAGATTTGGACTGGGTGGGGTGGCAAACTTGTGACCTGGTGAAATATTGAGGCGGGCAGCTCGCACGTCAAAATCCAACAAACGTGTGCGACCTTTGCTGAAATGCCAAGCCAAGATACTGTAACGAATAGGTGATATTGTAAGCCCTGAAGGTGTCACAATGGACTTTATCAATCAAAACAAAAAGTCAAGACATTCCATCAGTCACAATGTTTAATATACAGTGTCAGTGGTGTAGCGCCTGTCCCAAACAACGAAGGCCTTTGCGGAAGGGCGACAGTGTTTCGTAATTCTGGTGCCTTCTGTGATGCTGGGCTCTTGATTGGGAGCATGTGTGTTGTATGGCGAGCATGTCTTTCTGAAGCAGAAGTTCATTTGATCACGTTGAACATGCAGTAGAGAGTTGGCTGGCTGAGCAAATAAAATAACATAAATGGACAAGGAACCTGTGACTCGGAGGCTTCTGTACCAGGGTGTGTCCAATTCAAAGATATTCAAAGTACGTATCATCTGGCTGTGACCTCGTCCTACAAAGGCTGAGCAGGCCATACCTGCAAAGGATGCACCAAGCAGATTGGAAGGTTTGCCAAGCTGAAAAGCTATGCTCATCTTCCTGATGTCTGCGCATGTGCCTTGAAGGCTGTGTGAGCCATGGCACCCTCAAGGTCATGTTGTGAAGGTGAAACGGTTAAAATGAGAGTCCG